AAAAAAAAAAAAAAAAAGAATCCTGTATTACCTTTTCACTGTTTTCTTGAGTCTCTGCTTTGGAAATAAACACAGAGATTCCCCTCCTATATATCTCTAATTTATAATTCTTGGAGGGTAGATGGCAAAATTTCATCCTAGCTGCTGTACCATACCGTTGAAATCCCGCTACTATCCTTCTCTTCTCCCAGAATGTCTCAACTAAATTTAGAAGTGAAGGGGCACCTGGCTGGCTCAGTCAGTAGAGCATATGACTCTTGGTCTCAGGGTTGTGAGTTCAAGCCCCACACTGGTTGTAGAGATTACTTAAAAATAAAAGTCTTTAGGGGCGCCTGGGTGGCTCAGTCAGTTGAGCATCCAACTCTTGGTTTCAGCTCAGGTCATGATCTTGTGGGTGATGGGATCAAACCCTGCATCGGGCTCTGTGCTCAGTATGATGTCTGCTTGAAGATTCTCTCCCTCTGTCCTCCCCGCTCCCCTCCCCCCACTTCTTGCACACGTGCCGCTCTCTCTCTCTAATAAATAAAATCTTTTTTAAAAATCTTAAAAAAAAAAAAAGAAGAAGAGACACAATGGGAAGTGTTTAATAAAACATAAAAGAGCCATGCCACCTATCTCTCATACCCATCTGCCTCACCTCCAGCTCACAAATAAAACTGGAAATCAGGTAGGTCCTCACCGATTATCAGGTTTGACCTCCCTTCCTTTATAACAATACTCTCCCCATTCAAATATTTCTGACCAAAGTCATCCCACTTCAGACTGAAGATGTCTTCGATAAAAGTGCAATAGCCCACAGTAGCAGTTCTCAAAGTGTGGTCTGCAAACCCCTAAGGGTTTCTAAGATTCTTTCAGGGCATCCACCAGGTCAAATCTATTTTCATAAAATATTAAGACAGTATTTGCCTTTTTCACTTTGTCAACACATGCACTGATGATGCAAGAGCAAAATGGAAACTCCTGGTGCCTTCACCTAAAAGCAGGAGAGCAGGCCCCAACTGTGCGAGTCACCACCAAGCACTTGCAGTTAGAAAAAAAGAAAAAAACCAGTTTTACTTAAGAATGTCCTAGATAAAGTTGCAAAAACTATTAATTTTTTAATTGAATTTTAACTGTTGAGTACACGTCTTTTGAACATTCTACTGAACAAAACAGAAAGTATGCATAACTCACTTCTGCTGCAAACCAAGACATGGCTGTGTCATTTTTTGAGTTGTAAGCTCGACTAGCCACTTCTCTCAAGGAACATCATTTTTACTTGAAAGAATAAATGACAAACTATCATGATTTAAACTTGGCACCTGGCAGATATTTTCTCAAAAATGAAACAAGTGAGCCAGTCACTTCAAGGAAAATAACTGACAGTACTTGCTAAGAATGCTAAAATTCAAACTTTCAAGTAAAAATGAGAACTTATTAAAAATGTCTACCACCATGAGCTTGACAGCTTCATAATAATACTTCATGACTTTTATGATGAGATCTGTAGTGGTATTAATGGATATAATTTTTTGATATTACATATTGAAATGTCAGTATTTTAAAGAACCATGGAACTCTGTGAACCACTATTTTCCAAATAACCAATGCACAATTTTACCAGATCATGCATAAAGAAAGAGCCATTCAAAAATGCCAAGATATTCCAATATATTTTATGCAATATATTCCAATATATTCATGCAATTTTTTTTATAAAAAAGTACATGAATATAGTTTCAGACTCCATACTGTGAGTCACCACTAAGAAATGGCCCCTTGTTAGGTTTGGATACAATATCAAATAAATAATCACAATTACTTGAAAAAGCTATTATAGTATTCCTCTTTCCTTTTTCCAATTAAACATCCATGTGAAGCTGATTTTTTTTTTTCACATACTTCAACCAAAACAATATAACTTCGGAGACTGAATGCAGAAGCAGATAGGAGAATCAGCTGAGCTCTTTTAAGCCAGAAGTTAAAAAAGATATTCAAAAATATAAAACTATGCCATTCTTCTAATTTTTTAGAAAAGGCTTTTTGTTAAAAAAATGTTAGTTATGATAACACGCAACTAGTTATTATTTTAAGTGAATTAATTTTTTAATTTCTCCATTTTCATTTCTGATACAGTAAATACCAACAGTAAGTGCCCATATAATAAATGCTCTCTGGGGTCCTCAATAATTTAAGAGTGTTAAGGGGTCCTGAGACCAAACTGTGAAAACCACTGCCCTAAAAGCAATGTTCCATAACTGAATGGGGCTAGTTCTTATATTAAGAACTTTGAAATCTGCTTCCCTATTGCTCTACCATAGTGCTATTTCTACCTTAAAAAATATCACAGTCTTGGGGCGCCTGGGTGGCTCAGTCTTCAAGCGTCTTCCTTCAGCTCAGGTCATGATCCCTGCGTCCTGGGATCGAGCCCCGCGTCGGGCTCCCTGCTCCGCAGGAAGCCTGATTCTCCCTTTCCCACTCCCCCGCTTGTGTTCCCTCTCTCACTCTGTCTCTGTCAAATAAATAAATAAAATCTTAAAAAAAAAAAAAAATCACAGGCTGTTATTTAAATGATCTTGATTATCCTCTTTATGTATTCCATAAAGGATCCCTGAACCACTCAACTATTTCAAGACACACACTATGTTCTCTATATTCACTATAAACATCCTATTTCCTAAACCAGTCTTCATGTGGTACGTTTCTCATCACTACCACTACTACCACTCCCAGAATCCCATCCAGCTACACTCTGCATACTCATCTGCCAATGTCTTTTCTTCTTTGTATTCTCAATGCCCAGTGCAGCCTCTGAACAGAACAAGCACTTTCCTGAATCAGTGGTGTGTCTCTTAAAAGGGAGCACTGAGAAGCAAACACATTGCTCCAGATCACTATTTTTCAAACTGTGGGACACAATCCATTAGTAATTTTATCATCAGAATCACGACTGGCATTTTTTTTTAATGACCAAGAATAGGATAAAATAAGTAGAAGATATCCTTGCTACATGCCAGGCACACCAATAAGGTCTGATTTATGAAATTTCTTTGCAATTATGAGTTTAAATGTTTTTGTTATAATGTGATACGGTCAGATAACTTTCAAAACCACTGCTCCAGATCACATTTTAACAGGTTTATATTCTCCTGATAAGTACATCATTCTTTCTTTTAATTGATCTAGCATACAACAAAAAATTCTGTCATCTACCATCACAGAAAAGGTTTTTGGTATGGCTCTTCTGCTGAGCAGAATGGCTTCTACACATATTTACCGTTATGACCCTGAGGAGTTTTTTATTCTTCAGGCAGAGATTGTAAGCCAGTAGCCCTGGGCCAAATTTGGCTCTAGACCTTTTATTCTGCTACATCTTTTTAAAATTTTATTCTAAATAAATATGAATGACTTTAAGCAGGGCACACACGCTCCAGAATGGCACAGCTCCCACTTGGCCCAATTATATAACACTACCACCATTTCACAGTTCTCTGCAAGGCCCCTAATGAAACTGCAGTTTACAACATATGATAGAGAAATGGCAGAAATAACCTGTCAGACAACTAAAGGTGAGAAATGTATGTAACTGTCCACTGTTGTACTAACTGAAGGCTCTGTGTAAGCAAAAAAATACCTGGGAGTGTGTGTTGCCCAGACACCATCGTAAGCAGCTTCTCTTGTTCTTCCATGAGTCTTTGTAGTTGCTCTAACTGCTGCCTCTTCAGTTCTTCCTGCTTCTTCTGTTGTACTTCTTTCAGCTTTTGAAACATAAAATTAATTTGATCAAACTAACTTTACATTTCTTTATGGATTTTTGCTCCTTATATTTATCTTAATGCCTCTCATCTCCCGTTCCATATCACCTCTAATAAAGAGTTTCAAAGAGAGATTCCTAAGTAACTACATCTGCCACCAAAACTCCAAAATCCTATTTTTTTATGAAGGAAACTGTATCGACTGTCCCAACTAAGAAACAGAAAAAGTCACATGAATCCTTGGATTCTTAAAACAGGATAGGTATCAGTACATTTCTGATCAACTTTTTCCCTCTAATATTTGATCAACCATTTCTAACTTAGTTTTTACCAAGTGAAACAGAAACTTAAAGACATTGTTACCTCAAGTGTTATATCTTACATACCAAACCTGAGTTAACGTTTCACATTAGACAAAAGGCAAAATTTGGTGTTTTGAGGATTTCACAGTAAAGGGGAAGAAACAAGAGGCCCTGAACAGGTGACTTTTCATTATCAACAGAAACTTGCAATAAAGCAAATACATATTAGGCCAAATCCTGTTGTACCTGTTCAAGCTTTTTAAAGAGTGGGTCTTTATAAGCCACTTCTTTGCATTCACCGGAAAGATCTGAGATAAAGTCATTTTTGTTGTCTTCCCGGTGTCCTGGAGCATCTTGACATGCCACTATTTGTGGTCCTTCTTTAGTTAAAGGAAACACTGCATGTGTTTCAGATTTATCTGATTGTAGTTTATAAGGGCTATTAGACTCCAACTTCTGTTCTTCATGAAGTGAATCTTCTTCACTTATAAAGCTGAAGCTATTTGAAAAATGTGTGGCTTTAACAGGAAAGCTGGTAGAAATGTTCACATTTCCTCGCTTCTCTTCATCTGCTTCCAAAATAGGAAATCCACGATTTAATATGACCCCAGCCCGAGAAGGATTGGTCATCCACTGGGTTAAGAAGCTCTGTCCACTGTTTAACTCGGAAGAGGTTGGCATCAGGAACATTTTAGTCCAATGATAATATTATATTTAAATAATGTAAAAGTTAGAAGAGCTATTAATTTCCAAAACCTGTAGAAAGAAGATGCCAACAAAAAGAATTGGTTAAAGCTATTCTACCCAAAACTCAAACCAGCACAAAAATCTACTGAATATTTTTTTAATTTTATTATTATTATTATTATTTTTATTAGACAGAGTACAAGCAGGGGGAGCAGCAGGAAGAGGGAGAGGGAGAAGCGGGCTCCCCGCTCAGCTGGGAGCCCGACACAGGGCTCAATCCCAGGACCCTGGAACCATGACCCGAGCGGAAGGCAGATGCTCAACCGTCTGAGCCACCCAGGCGCCCCAAATACAAATTCAAATTTGTATTTGAATATTTCAAATATAAAAGACTTCAACCAGCAAAGCAGTTGGGCATTAAACTATGTGGTTTCTTTTAAGTCTTAAAAACATCCAAATTGAGTGAATCAAAAACCTAAGTTCCCTTTTGATCTAATCATTTCATTACTGAGGATTTTATACAAGTGCTCAATCAGTTGACCTAAAACTCTAGGAGCTAAAACACCTTCTAAGTTATTCAATTACTGTAACTATCAAATGTTACCCATATTAAACACTTTCATACTTCTGGCCCTACTCCAACATGGCTTCTTTGCCCAACTGGGGAACCCATGTTCTCCCTACTTACAGAACAAGAGTCACCACCACCCCCATAGCTTCACTGGCACTGTTTCTCACTTTCCCTTATTCCCTCAACCCCCTTCTAGCCTCTTGCCCACCAGGGAGACCCTCATCTGTATTCTTAGAGGTCTCTGATATCACTATTTTGACATTCATCTCAATATTAGTGGTACTCTGCCTTTGTGTTCATAATCTACCAAGCTGTGAGTTCCTTAAAGATACAGTCACCTGTATATTCATCCATGTCTAGCACCATCCATTCCTGGCAGAAGGAGAAACTGATAAATGTTTGCTAAAATTAAGTTAAAATTAAATCGGAACTAAGATTCTATTATTTAAAATAAATTCAGTATTAAAAATAATATTTAAAATAAATTCAGTATTATAGTTCATTCGATGTTCAACAACAAAATTACATTAGTTTATACAATAGGACAGCTACTTTGTATGAATCATACTCTAAAATAACCAAATTCCTAGTGTAATTCAGTCACCATGCACATCACACAGAAGATAAGCTGTATGACTGATTTCACTCAACTAACATTTATTGAATTCTTACTCTGTGCCAGATATTATTTTAGTCATTGGGCATATAGCAGTTAGTAAGTCAAGATTCTAATGAAGAGGGGCGCCTGGGTGGCTCAGTTGGTTAAGCAACTGCCTTCGGCTCAGGTCATGATCCTGGAGTCCTGGGATCGAGTCCCACATCGGGCTCCCTA